TATATATATATATATATATAAGAGTAAAGTATTCAGTGGTTTGATTCAAAAATTTAATCTATATTGTACAATGAATTAGTCATTTTAATTGTTGAAGTAAATTTTATTTGCATGATTTTGATAAAGTTTTGTATATGTTTAAAACGTTTGATACATGTTAAATTAAAAGGTTTTTTACTAACTTTTATTTATATAGCATGATAAAACTTGTTTAACAAATTTTTTCTAAAGAATAATGGTGTAGTGACAAAAGTGATGTTATGTTTAACCTTGGAGATGATTAACATGGCTTCTAGTATCTAATATTATCATATAATCACTAAAAAGCTTAAAGCACATGTTATTTTTTTCAAGTTACATTCATTGTTAATATAACCATTTAAATCTAGAGGCATGGTAGTTACTCCAGCCAAGTTAAAAAGATAAAGTAACACTACTATAAAGAAAGTTTTCTTTTACTAAAGTTGTTGTCTTGAAATAGTCAAAGAAATATGTTTAACAAAATATTATAGTTAGCATTCTGGACAATTAAGAATGTAAAAATTTTATTCATAAAATGCTCACCATAAAAATGTCAATAGTATATATTCTTGAAAATATTTATGACATTATTTACATAAATTAGAAAAGGCTGACTGAATGGATTTTCTTTATCTGTCAGGAAGCTTTTTATTCAAATAATTTTTTTAATACTTCCCCTCTTTTTTTTTCTCCTTTCTATGTAAATATTGCTAAATCTGTCATTTACTGAATTATAAATAACCTTTTTTTTCCCAAATAGTTTTGTAGAAGAGAAACCTTTGGAACTGCCTTCTTACCCTGGTGGAATTTTAGCAGATGAAATGGGTTTAGGTAAAACTGTTGAAGTTTTAGCTTGTATCCTCTGTCATCCTTGGCCTCAACTAAATGTGATCAAACTCAAGGTTAGTGTAAGAATACGGGCCCTGCCATGTTAATGTTTATAATTTTACTTCACAGTTTTATATATATATATTAATTGTTGCATTTAGTTAATAGAAAATGTTTGAAAAAAGTAAACAAATTATGGATAAATTGTCATAGTTATAATTTTGTTACACCATTTTTTATCGTAGTAAAATCTATTTAATTTCATTGTGTTTGCAAGCAGGATTATGTAATTTTATGAAAATAAAGTTTAAACTAAGTGTGCATAGGTGAAATATAATTAAAATTTTTTATTGTTTTTCTTTGATTTAAAATATTTTACATTGTTACATCTTCTTGTAGGAAAGTAAAGAAAATGACTTGGAAGTAATATCTGAGGTCTTTCAAGCTGAGAGAGAAACACTTGAGGTGGTGGAACCAGATACATTAAAGCATCATTCCTCAGTTTTGGATAACAGTAACAGTTATAGCTTAGAAGAAGCTGCAAACGAATCTGAAAACAGAGTTTACTCCTCCATCCTAAATAAATCGCATGTGAAGAAGGAAGAAATTGAATGTTTTAGTAGTCATGACATAAATAACTCGCAAGACGATTATCTTACTTCATCACCTGTTAGAAAGAATATTCTAAGTCAACAGCCTGTCCAGTTTATAGAGAACATAAGAGAAACAAATGGTATAGGTGATTCTGATAACAAGCAACATTGTGCTAATGATGAACTAGAAGATAATAAAACAACTTTAAGTAAAGTGAACACTGCTCAGACATATATTGGGTTAAATTCTAAGAATGAAAAAAATAAAAAGGATAATTTTAATAGACATAAAACAAGCTGTGAAAAAGTAAAGCAGAAGTCAAAAAATTTTATTGTAGATGAAACCTTAAAAAAGAAACAATATTTTGAGTGTATCTGTGGGTCACATGGTAGTAAGTACAACACTAAAAACAAAATTCAGTGCGAAAAGTGTGGTCTTTGGCAGCACCCAACCTGTGTTAAGTTCAACATAGATGACATTGGAGTTATTCCTTTCTACTGCCCCAATTGTTGGGTTGATCCTTCAACAGTAAGTTAAACTTTTTTGTGCAGTATACATTAAAAATATATATATTTGAAATTTTATTTTGGCAGAACAAAATTTGACTGGTGTTGGTCCCTGTGAAAGTAATGTAGATTGTTTACCATCATTTTTTTCTATCTTTCTCTTTTTTCACACAATGCAGCTGAAAGTATAACTTCATTGGGAATGTCCAAAAATAAGGCAGAAAGAACATACATTTCTTTTTGTCTCAAAATGGGAGTGAACCAGTAGTTTATTATTATTTTTGTAGAAATTGGAAAATTCGTCTCATACTCCATTCAGTTGTAAGTTTGGCAGCAGTTATGATATTGTCCTTTACTAAGTATTGAACTTGCACATTATCTTGCAATGTAAACTTGTGCTTAGTGAAAACTTGTATTTTAAGTGTATCAGATATCTCTGAATTTTCCAAATAGCTCAAAATGTATGTGAATGGCAAGGAATAGAAATGTATAATGTTTTTGTGTAATTATATAGAATACTTAATGATATTTACAATCACAGAATACAAACAAATTTTATAGTGTAGGTTAACAAATAAAACAGGCAAGCAAATTAGGCATTTCTTCTATGTTTTGGAAAATAATACACATTTGAAATTTATCTGGCCTTAGAAAAACAGAAACAAAGTTCAGTTGACAGTTGTGAAGATAAGTCAGTAAGAAAGTAAAACTAAACTTCTTTTGTTTTACCCAAACAATTTGGTTTAATGTACTTTCAACTTAATAGGTAATTATAGTTGCATGATTTAGTGAATGGTATTGATGTAAAAGTCAGAACTTGCCAAATTCAGGTTGGCACTTAAGAATGGTGACCTTATGTTTGTAAGTTATTTAGTGAAGGTCTCATTGAAATGGTGTTTGTTTGTTTGTTTGCTTTTTGTATTCACTAATGTTTGTGATATAATTAAACATCACAGAAAGGATTGCACATTATTCAGCAAAGACTTTTTCTGATGTTTGACTGTCAGCTGATAAATGTGTGCACAGAAAAGATTGCTTGAGTGGCTCAACTACATAGCTTTGTCAAAAATAAAAATGGCAGTGCATGTGTGTGTGTGTGCTTATTTTGTTTATAAGTAATGTGTGTAACTTATACAAAAATTGAAAATTGGGTCAAAAACGTGTCATGGGGAAGGAGGGGATGACTCCTTGCCTCTCACTAGATTAAGCTGGTATCCTGGCTCCTAAGACTTACTACCAAGCTCTAAATATTAGAGATATTTGTCATCTGAGTGTAAAAATATTCCTTATTTTCTATACTAAGACCATCCAGTGCTTTTAATAAAATTAGTAATAATATTGTTACTCTAGGAAGAATTGAAAGCTTATTATAGTCATTATTTTTATGCTAATTTTGTTATGTAAAATGCAAGAAAATATAACCAGATGAGGAAAATTCTGTTCTTTTGAGAGTTAATTGGGTATGAGATACTCTGACATTTCACAATTACGAGTTTATCTACTTAAGTTGACAAAAAAGTTTTAATTCGGTTTGCCACATGAAAACTTTTTCTTTTAATTTAAGGATAGCTTGAAAACATTTTTACTGCAATTTCTAGGAGCCCGTAGAGTCAGGAGCAACCTTAATTGTTTCTCCTGCATCGATCAGTTACCAGTGGCAGGAGGAGATTGAAAAGCACATTAAGGATAGTCAACTCAGAGTTCTAGTGTATAGTGGAGTTAATAAACAAGGATTTGTACAACCTCAAGAACTGGCGACCAACTATGATATCGTCCTGACAACTTATGAAACATTGCGAAAGGAAATTGATTATGTAGATCTTCCTCATAGCAACAGTAAGTTTAGAAATGTGCTTATTGTGAACTTTCATTGTTGGTATATTTTAAAACAGAGCATTCAGATGAGTCATCTTTGTCTCATAAGACTAATAGTGTGAGAAATGATGTACAGTGGTAAAAAATAATATGGAGAATAAAAAAAATTTTAGACTTTATTTTCTTCTGAATGGAAAAGTTGAAAATAAACAAAATCAGTTACATTGTTGTAATGAACGTAACATGCAGTTTGGTTGTGGAGGAGTTCAGCAAAAGATCAGACTTAACGGTAGAATAAAGATTTGCTGCTGTTGAAAATTTCATCTTTTTTGCTATGTAATTTTAGCCTATTGTATGAGTTTTGGATATGAAGATTTTGTAATACAGACTTTCTCATCATCTCCCCTTGATGATAAACAGAAGTATTTTTTTTGGTGCAAGATATTCTAATCATGTTAGACCTGATGCTATAAGACATAAACTGAATACATTTTTTGAAGCTAAACTCTGGTTTATATCTCTTCATTATAAACTCACTTGCCACACCCTCCTTTCACATCCTCTCTTAACATAAATTGCCACTAATTCTCTCTGAAGTTTACTCTTACATCATTTATAATGAAGAGAAAGGCAAAGTTTTAATTTATCAAATGATATATAATGCTACCTTGTTCTCAGTAGAGATCTTTAGTTATTTTGTATACAGATTCAAAGTTATCACCAACTGACAATTGCTATTGTAATATTTATAACCAATGGAAAGATTAGATTGTTCTTTACAATATTCGTTAGGAGGCTAGCCATTATGTTACTTGTAATTAGATATTTGGTCTCAGTTTCATTTTTTGTGATTGTGTTTTTTATACTCCCAGTCAGAAAGTGAATTTTTTAATGTACTTATTGCTTAGTTGGAAAGCCAGTTAAATTGTGATTGTTTTAGGATATACTGTTATATTGCCAGATATATGTTTTGTGTCCTAAGATTTTTGTAATTGAAAGCTTCAATAATTTTTATGTGAAGAACTAACTTAGTGAAAAAGTCAGACCTAGCTCAGTTATGGTTTGCATTTGCAGAGATCATGTGGATTATGCACTTTGCATGTGTAGTTTACAAATTGTGACTAATTACTTACAGCTGTGTTTATTGGTTTTGATGGGAGAGTTAGTGCTCAAGTATACCAGTAAAACCATCACAAGTTTACAGAAAATAGATGTGAAAAAGTTAACAGTTGAAACTTTGAAACAAGAGCCATGTAAAACAAGAAGAAAAAAGTATTGCTAATCTTATTTTATAATTTTAAATTTTTTATTTCAGTTTACATTGATCCCAATTAATGATTTTTTTACAGTTACTGTTAGGATAGGCACAATAGAAGATAAAATATAGTTTTACCCCCCCCCCCCCAAAAAAAAAGAAAAACAACAAACCATATTCGTTTAGGGGGTTTTGGAGGTTATGTAAATGAAAACTTTAAGATTAAAAAATATATGTATATTTTTATCATGAAAAATCAATTTGCAATCAGACTAGTCATACTGACTCAATAATTTCAAAAAAAATCTTCAGTAAAAATACTTTATTAAGAATTCTTTTCACACTTATTGGAAGCTTGCCAAATTTTGTGAAGTTACACAAAATGAACTCAGAATTATAGTAAACATTATTTCTCTGGTACAGAGATGGTCCGTTGAATTGACCCCGTGCATACAGTGTTAAGTTAAAAAAATTGACTATATGAAATAATAATGTTTTTTGCTTACTTACAAAATGAAGTATGAAAAACCGCTCATGCCCAACTAAACTAGACTCTCAGACTTGGAAAATGAGAGAGAGAGAGAAAGAGAATTAAAAGAAAGCTAGTCTGAATGATTTGATTAAGAAAGTAACATAAAACTTCAAGTGAAGAAGCTTCGGAAGGAGGTTAAAAAGAAGTAGATGTATTTTGAAGTAATTTTAAGCCTAAATGAATTTTAATTATAGTTAGTGGTACACAGTTAAACTGATTAATGTTAGTATGTTTAAGGCCAAAATGGAAGACGGCTCAGACATCCGAAGCGGTACATGGCTATCCCATCTCCAATCATTGCTGTTCAGTGGTGGAGGATTTGTTTGGATGAAGCCCAGATGGTTGAATGTGCTACTACCAAAACAGCAGAAATGGCACAAAGACTGACAGCCATCAATCGCTGGTGTGTTACTGGAACTCCAATTCAGAAAAATATTAATGGTATGAGTTATAAACTTTTTCCAGGATGTGTTTTATTTTCTAGATAAATAATTGTGAAAAAAAAATGGTAATTTTGTTACTAGAAGTGTACCTTTGTTTAAACGTCACTTTTCAATACTTAAATCATAACTAGAGTATTTCATGTGATGATTTCTGATTGGAGTTTTTTTCGTTAAACTGCTTTGATTACTTCATTGCCTATATGAAGATTTGGTTTGATCCACTTAGAACTTGTAATTTTTTAAAGATCAAATAATATCATCATATTTATCCTTATTTCTCCTCCTTTGTCTGTATATTCATTTATATTCATAGATCAGTTCAGAAACATGAATTTTTGATGAAATAACTTTTTTATATTTTTATTTGGCACATCAGTGAAGAAGAAAACAAATTGATATCTTTTTGCTGTAAATCATAAAAGATTTAACAGCAGCATAATTTTTCAAAAACCTATTCTTAAAGATCTCTATGGCCTATTACTCTTCCTTGGAAAAGATCCTTACTGGATAAAGTTGTGGTGGCAGAAAGTTTTGTATGAGCCATATTGTGCAGGTGATCAGATGCCACTCATCCAGACCCTCAGTCAGTGCTTTTGGAGGAGTGCCAAGAAAAATGTTCTGGATCAGGTACATTGCACTTTAGCCACTATATTTGTAACTTTTTTTTTAGCATATATAACATGCATATATATTAAATTGTAGTTACTTTAGTTTTCCAAGAACATCTGAATGATACGTGATACTTTTTAAGTACAGCGACTAAAGTTGGTGTTGTACATAAGTGTGTCTAAATGTCTAGTTTTTTCCTTTCAGTATGTTTATGAAACTCTAAATAATTATTATGAAATTTTCATTTCACTCAGTTAAATCAATAAGAGAATGTTTTGGAAAATAATCTCACAAAACGCTTTACTTGTAAAAAAAAAACAGTTAAATTAGAATATAAAGAAAGAGTTGAAAAAAACAACAACAACTTAGAAACGTAAACTGTGGAACATCACTAGGAAAAGTCATCAAGAACTATAAACACCTCGGTAGCACAACTTTTGTGATGTTTATTCCCAGTAGAATTTCATAGTATTTTTTTGGTAATGTATGTTGTTGACTATTAAATTTATTCCTCTTTAACTTACTCATGAATATTTTGTCTTGTAATTATTATTTCAATATTAAAAGACAGAGCATAAGCAATTGCTTTTCAATGTTTATACAATTTCACATCATAACCTACTGATTTGGTAGATATGGTGCATTGATGCTCTAGTGCGTAGTACGATGTTAAAAACAAAGTTATTGATCAAAATCAAAGCTTTAAACTAGTTAGGTATGATTAATATATAACAAATCCATACTGATTATTTAAACTTATAATCCCTACACTGAACATGCTTGTCCTTTCAGCCTTATCAGCCGTGGGGGCGTTATAATTTGATGGCAAATTCCTAGTGTTATAAGTATGTTATAAAGATGTAATATGTGCAAAACAATATTACATAAAATACCAAGCTCTGTAAATATTTAATCTACAAAAAGAGCTAAGTTATATAAAGATGTTAGGTTAAAATGGTTAAGTTAATCAAGACACAGTTGGAGTAAAAATTTGCCCCTTGTTTTTTTGTTGTCATCTTACTATGGTTTTTTAATTTAACCTAAAATTTTATGCTACACAAAACTTGATGGGGTTAACATGTAAAGCATGCTAGGCTTAAAAACCTAAAATTTTGTGGGAAGTGCCAGTGGTTCCAGCAACTTATTTAAGATATACAGAGATATAGCTTTTTCCTTAGTATGTTTTTTTATATATAATATTAGTGTAATCGATATTATTATTATTATTTGGTTCAAAATCACTTATTGTAATTTTAAAAAATGATGAATTTAATATTAATTTAAAACACTGACATAATTCTAAGTAAGCTCAGTGTCTTAAAAGTGACTGTCATGTTACATTCAGTATATAAGGATTTGAAACTTTGTAGTGGATGTAGACTGATTTGTAAATATCAGGAGCATCAAGAGTGCTCTTGATAAACTTTGGATTTCAGCATCTGGAGAAATTATACCCTTGTTACTCTGAAAAAGAAATTGAATTACAGTCAATATCACTATTTATGCATGTAAGCTATGTTATGCTTCCCTGTAAAAATCACTGAGAATGAATACTGGATTTAAAAAATATTTTCTTTATAAACCTTTAATAATGTTTGTGACTAGTTTACCTTTCTTGTTTTTGTGAACTTAATATAGAACATCATATAATTGCTTTTATCAGTAACTGAAGTAAAAGTGAACTTCATTAGAAGCTTTTATTGAGCATTTTCAATGGAAAAGTTATTTGAGTGTACACAAGATGATTGGATTATTTATTCTTACAGATTGGTATTCCACATCAAGAAGAAGTCCTTCATTGGCTGGAGTTTTCTCCTGTTGAAACTCATTTCTACAAATCTCAACATCAGCAGTGTTCTCTTAAAGCCAGGGAGATTCTAAGAAAGTTTGGTAACTTGGATATAAAACTAAGCTGTTTGGATAGGCAAACCATGTCAAAGGTGAATAGATGTGCTCACTATAAAAACTCAGTGAATTGTTCCTAAATACAAATTAATGTACATATCGTATTAAATTGTTTATCAGTAATTTTTATCTCAATATTGTAAAATATTTTTAATGCATAGTTAATAGAACCATTGTCATTTTTTTTCATTTATATTGAATGGGTTTACATACAAGTATAAGAATATTATGTCTACCTTAACCCTTTGAATACTGGTGTAGGTCATGAACTTTACAGAATTACATTTAAACTTTAATTAAACAACTTTTTTATCAATATATTTCAATAAGCTTGGCATCAAAACATAGCTTATGATTAAGGTTTTTAAAGTATCTCAGTTTAATTTCTTAATTTTGAAAAGTAGTATTTACATAAATTCTTAATTTGCAGCTCTCAGAATCACCTGACTTGGTGGAATTGTGATTTATCATTTATAGATTTTTTATTCCCTTCTATAGATACTGACAAGTTAGAATATAAATTTTAAATTTCTTGCTTTACTTGAGATATAACTATTTGTTCAATACACATTGACATTCCTCTCCCATACCCTGTCTTTTAAGAACTATATATCACTCTCTCCCTTACATTTTATAACCAATAGAAAGAGCATATTGTAATGTTCAGGAAATTTGTATTCCTTTCTTTGGTTTATGCAGAAAAAAATGATAGATTGCAAGAAAAGCTTGATGTGGGTTGGATAAAGTCATAGCTTAGAGCAGTAATGGAATTTTTTAAGCATATTTATAGCTTAGTCAGAAAAAAAGATAAGTTACAGTAGTTTATTATATAATCTAATCTAGTGAGTGATATGGTCAACAGCAAAGATAAGTTCTAAATTTCTTGTTTTATTATGTATATTTTTTATTTGTGTTATATATATTTTTTAACGAAAGTAACTAAAATGTAGAAATGAAAATGTTATAAGGTTAGATAATAAAACTTCAATGAAAAAATAAACAAATAATTCTGCCATCCAAATTAGCGATTTATGGCTTTTCACAGTAGATAGACATTTAAAGAGCAATGGTTTTGTTACAGTTAGTGTTTGTATAGATAAAATAAGAAATAAAGTATAGTTTTTACAGAAAGAAAACTTATGATATTAATTTAGGATGTTTTAGAGATTATGAAATAAGAAAACTGTGAAATGAAAAAAAAAATTATTATTAGCATGAAAATTATCTTTAAGAATGGCTCAGTAAAGGCTTTGTAAATTTAGGGACAAATGTTTAGTAAAAATATATAATTAAAAAAATTGATTTTTTGTGCTCAACAGACTTAATGTTTACTAAAAGCTTGCCAAATTTTGTGAGGATACACTTTGTAACCTCAGAGTTATAGTATGTATAGTTTCATGGTTTACACGATGGTACAAGGTCAAGCAAAATGACTGAGCCCGTATATGGAGAGTTTGAAATATATATGTTAAAGAACAGTAGAATTTATTTAACTGTTTTCGCTTGACAGTTAATCTTGAAGTTTTGGTGTAAC